CCTCACACTCGCACCAAACATCATCCAAACAGACGGAGTTGCCCAGATCATCCGATTTGCGGATCATGCTGGAAGAAAAGGCACGATGGAAGGAGGACACTAGGGCGCGCGACCCTCGCAGAGTTTCTGCCCTTCAACGATTGGCTCCTCGATCGCATGGAAGCGTCGAGGTTGGAATGTCATTACCACGCCCTGCCTACGAACCGACGGACAATGCATTAGCAAGGCTGCAGACCTCGCCGTTCGTTCCGGCAATTGAAAACGCGCCCCTACCTACAGGCTTTCTTCAGCCCAAATTCACTACGTACGAGGGGAAGACGGACCCCTACATTCACCTAAGCCACTTCCGCCAGGTTATGGCGGTATATCGGCGAAACGAGGCTCTAATGTGCATCTTCTCATCAAGCCTTGGCGATCTAGGCTTGACTTGGTTTGAAAAACTTTCAGAAGGCAGCATAGCCTCCTGGGCGCAATTGGCGGAGGCATTTGCCACAAGGTTCAGAACAAACACCAAAACCCCGGTGGAGATTGACCAGCTACTCTCCATCGACATGGGCGAAAAAGAGACATTAAGGTCCTACAATAGTCGCTACTGGGAAACATTCAACCAAATTGGGGACTGTCCCACCAATCTCGCCATTGCACAATACAAGAGAGGCCTTCCGGTCGGGAACAGACTAAGGGACTCAATCACCATAACACCACCCTTTACCATGGAAGCCTTGATGGAAAGAGTACATCAGCACATCAGGGTAGAAGAGGATGGCGCACGTGCCAAAACAAAATCTGGCACGACCACAGTACTAGAGAAAAAGGCCTCAGCAAAAGTCAACACGGTAGATTGTCCAAGTAGAAACGAACGAGGCAGGCGAGACAACGGAGAAGACCAGGATAAAAGATGGTTGAGAGTCCGCACTGCCATAACCACGGTCTTCAAGAAACCGATCTACCGAATTCTAAGTGAAATACGGGATAAGCCTTTCGTCAGATGACCAGCTAAGCTTGGGGAAGCTCAGAAGGACTATGACGAAAGATCACGGTGCACCTTCCACAAAGAAAAGAGGCACTGCACTAAAAATTGCACGCCATTGAGACAGCACCTGAAGGAGTTGGTGGTAGCAGGTCACCTGGATAAATACATTGAAGAAGGGGCCCAACCAGCCCCCCAGGACCATAACAACCCCAACGGAATGCCAATCGACGCCCCACCTCAAGGCGTTATCAATGTGATACATGGAGTTTTCGAACCTAAGCGTGTATGCGATCTCAGAGGATCAATTAAAAAGGCTGAGCATTTAAGAGAGGTACAAAGTGCCCAACCTGCCATCAAGAAGGGAAAGACAGAGGCCACGAACGTCATGTCTTTTTCGGATAAGGACTTGGCAAGGATATATTGCCCTCACAATCATGCCTTGGTTGTCACTCTCCGAGTCAAGGATTTTGACGTCAAGCGGATTTTGATAAACCAAGGCAGTTCATGTGAAATAATGTACTACGACACCTTTAAACAGTTGAAGTTACAAGATAAAGACTTGGCACCTGCCGTATCTCCCCTGATTGGATTCAACTCCATGCCAGAATGGCCCGTTGGCAAAATAATCCTCCCAGTCAAGGCAGGAAGCGTGACGAAACAAGTGGAGTTCTGGGTATTAAAGGTCCCTTCCACTTATAACATCATCTTGGGCAAAACATGGCTGCATGCCATGCGATCGATGGCGTCATCCTGCCACCAAGTAATGCGGTTCCCCAACGATACCGGTGTAATTGAAGAGGTCTATGGAGATCAAATTATGTCCAAGCAATGCTTTATCACGGTGAATGGCAGCCACGCTGCCAAATGATACGTTCATTCGGTGGAAGAACCTGAGAGCAATGAACTGTTCGCAGATGTAGGCAAAGCTGCTAATCAGAAAGCGATGGAAGACTTGGTAGAGGTAAGAATAGATGAAAAGAACCCGGATAAGTTCTTTTTGCTTGGTTCATCGTTGTCCAGCACTAAGAGATTAGAGGTCTTGGAATTTTTTA